TTTGGGTTGTTTCGTTCAGAAGATAGAAGGGTTTTTCAGAGATATTCCTTTTTGGACCATCTGATCGTTTATCACTCTAAAATGTCTTCAAAAAGAGGTAATCAGCCATGCTGAGTCGAGTGGTGATATTTATTTTCTGTTTCAAAGCGATCCACGAAAAGATTTTTCGAAAAAACCGCGAAAGTCAGACCATTCATGCGTTTATCAAAAACCGCCTAAAGCCGCGGTGGCAATAGGGAAAACCCTGGTTCGAGGTAACTTTTTTGCAGGTTTAACCGCGGTGGTTGCTGTTGTCACCACAGTATTTATACGCCGTTGTTTTAACCGATTTTTGAGAAACGCATAAATGGTCTAAGTTTCGCGATTCCCTAAACCGTAGTATTTTTTTTTAAATATTTTCATGGTGATCTGGTATGTTTATAGGGTATTTCTCACAACATAGTCTTTTTCAATCCTATAGCGAGAAAATATCAAATGTTAAAAATCCGCTATAAACATGTCAGATCGCTTTGAAACGAAAAATAAATATCACCACTCGACTCAGCATGGCTGATTACCCCTTTTTGAAGACATTTTAGAGTGATAAACGATCAGATGGTCCAAAAAGGAATATCTCTGAAAAACCCTTCTATCTTCTGAACGAAACAACTCAAAAAGATCAGCTTTGTGTAGATCGATAGAGAATAATATTTGCTATCGAATGGTGGTATTATATTTTAATCTGAATAGACAAAAACTACAAAATGCATCTAACCAAATTTTTTCAAAATTTTTATCGATATGGTTCTCTCGTACAACTCATATAAAATTGGACACATTTGCTTTTGATTGATAGCTTAGATGTTGCTCTTCAAGAATCTATGTTCAATATCTGTCCATGATAGAACGGGAAAAAGATAGGAAAAAAACAAACAGGGGGTCGATACTTATGGAACACCCTTTATATTGTTTACAGTTCAAAGTTTCAAAAGATTTTTTTTTATTAATTTTCATAATCATTGGATAGAGATCATCAAGTTGGTTAATGAAAAGTCATATTTCGAATTCCATATGAAAATTATATGAAAAAAGTTCAAGATACCGTAATTTTGAAATAAAAGAGAAAAATATACTGAAACTTCTAAGTTCCTTAAAATTTTAACATTGTATTTGAAGCATGCCTTCCTATTAGGGTGTGGATGCTAGTCTAGAGAAGATTCACACCCACACCCACATTAATGACATCGCATATCTCAGCAGTAAAAAAAACTATGTTTTACATATATATGAAAGTCTTTAATCTCAAGAATGAAAAACTATCAATTTTCCGACATTGGGTGTGGGTTTGTGTCATCTCTTGAGCGACACTTATACACACACCCCACACACACTCAGCATGAAGTATAATGGGGCTTCTTTCTTAGGACAGTCGTGCTCTGATAACTATCATTAATTGAATCATTGAACAAAAATGCAACGAAATGTCTTGTTGCTAGTCATTGTATAATTTTAAATGATTTGAACCATCCAAAATCATATTGAAACGAATTTTTTTGCATATGTATGTTTGTTTTTGGCTTTTTTGTCATCGCTCTTCGTCTATTTATCCTGGCAATGTTCCACTGTTGCTATGCGCAGTCCTTCTCAATTGAATGCATACTTGAAGAGAGTTAAAGAAAACAAAAAAGAAGGAGGCAAAGCACATAGAAACAAAACAACAAAACGTTGTCATGCTGCAAGAGTAAGAATCGAGTAATTTCATAAAAAAAAAACAAGCAAACAGTGTACAACGCAAAAAAATTCCAATCTGTAGCAAACGTATCGGTTGCAATTATTTGACTGTGATGAGTTAATTATTAGGGAGATTCGAAAATAAAAAGAAACCATTTTGAATCCTATATACTTAATGCTGAGACACTGCAAATATTAGGAACGATTAATACAGATATGACATAAACAATTGTAGTCAACTTTACGTAAGATGATCGATACGCCAATGCATGTCAGTCATCGGTCATGCTAATTCGCTATCGATGCCGTAAAGACTGCTCGAAAACTGCTGGTTAACTTCAATTCTTCAGCTTAATTTAGCTGTATATCTTACCTCATGAATATTTTTAGTCCCTTAGAAAAATGATTGATTTTAGTCGATACGGCGCCTCCTAATTATCATTAGCACGCTCAAGTCATCTGCAACAGCTATATCGACCGTTTTCGCTTACTTTTCGAGTTTAACTATGTATTGAAGATGACACCATAAAAATAGTATTGGCTAGAAGACTTAAACAATTGAAAGAAATGTAACACCCTTTGACAAAAGTATACTGTCACATAATAAAATCGACTTTTTTTTTAGTAGCAATCGATCTCTTCAAGACAGAAAATATTAATTTAATAGCAAAATTTACGGAAAAGGTTGAGAAACACCAGCAAACCATTCGAACGTCGGTTAACTGTCAGTTTCGATGAAAAATTAGCAACATTTGTATTTTGTACCTGTCTCATATTTGTTTGAACTTTTTATTAGTCTCAATCCTATAGTATTGTTTACATCCAACATGATTCATCTGTCTCTTTTTTTCTACTACTATATTCATCAGGGTCGGTTGTTAAAGAGACAAGAAACCAAAATCGATATAAGGTAATTGCGAATTTAATGAGACTTCATAAAAATGAAAGGCAGACACAACGATAAACTTTGTGCGTGGGTAAGAGTAAAAGTGGAAGCGCTTTCGGTCACAAATCATTCTGCACAGATGACGGTTGGAACTTGGTAATCAGAGAGTAATGTCTGTCAATAAAGAGAAAAAGCTGCCGATCATCATAGCCGAATCCTTAATAATGAGCACAAAGAGCTTCTCTTCACTGACTAATTTCAAAGAGTTAGAAGGAACAATCTTCATTATTCACAGTAATGTGAAACATTAAGGGTCAATTACTTCTAGGCACAGAGAAATACGTCAAACTGTTGATAAAAAAGCTTCGTACCAATCGGAAATTAGTAAAAATCAGACCAAAAAACTTTGGGACATATAGTCGTATTTCGAAGTCACTGTGTGAAATTTTGATTCTTCCACTGATATTTCATGACATTGATGAAAACCTTAGGGCCACGGTGCCGTTCATAGAATTGATCTCGAATAACTTCAAGCAATAGAGCAATTTGCAAGAGTAACAGCTGATAGCTTCAAGTAGCATAATAATCATTAAGAGTCAGAGAGAAAAAAAATCTAGCTTTCACAACACCGGAGGTAGTAATAATAAATGGGCCTCAATCACTCAACCATTTAGTAGAATGTCAGTGAATAGTTTTAAGCAATACAGGATATATGAGAATGACGGAAACATATTTATACTCACATAGGGATATACAATACAGTCCGATAAAAATCCTCAATTGGCCGAACAATGCATCTAGGTCAGGGCGAACAGCGGTAGATACTGCGTAACTGTGTCGTAAGGAAATAAACATGCTGCAGGCTATTCATCTATTCAGCTAAGTGCGCGAGAAGAGTATTATGTTCCATTGAAACGCTTGCGATTTACATCAATATTCTTAGATCTAGAACCGGATACGTAAGAAGAGAAAAAGGCAGACAAAGAAGAACCATCAAAATATTCTCGTGACGTGTGACAGCTTAAGACATTCAATGAGCGTGCTTTGCCGATCGTGTGGTTGTGTGTCGATGTGGCTATGCGACATAAGAGTGAGGGTAGATGTTGCTTTTCTCCTTACTAACACCTATCCCAACCCACACCCTATACCTGAATCCGAACTCCGAGACCGAACCCCAACCGTTCGATCCGGACTTCCGAGTTAAAGTTCGGGTTCGCTGCATGCCTACTCACACACTCATCCCATTGTCTCAAACCCACCTCACACCCACAGTTAAACACTCTACAACCACCCACACTCCCCCGCACACCCATCTGACACACGCAAGCCACACACACTCACCCGCATACACTCACACTCTCAAACATTCTGTCAGGCAAATCGGCCTACGAAATATGCGCACGAAAGTGTAAATCTAACCTGTTGATTCGGCATATCTTGGGATTGGGAATATTGTTAAGATACGATTTTTCGCTATCACTAAGAGCTCGTTGGGTTGCACTCGGAGTCGACAGGAGTTTTGTTGGAAGATTTCGTCAAATGCATCGGTCACAAAAATAAGGACTGAAAGATTTAAGGTGATCTGTTAATTCGCTGTACCTTGTGAGTGTGGGTGTACAGATTCTCTTCTTTGACACTCACAACCACAGCCATAGCCCTACACACTTTCGTACTGTCTACACACACACTGACACTGGAACTGATATCCACACCCACACTCACATCCATTCCACCTTCACGCTCACATGACAAATAACTGCACCCAATCCCACTTCCACCCTCACTCCACCCATATCCACACCTACACCTTTTTCTGTCTGGGCAAAATTCTCACTTTCAGAGTGTGGAAACGACGAAAAACTTCAGTTTTTAGTGTTAAAAGGCGCCTTTATTCTAGAATTTAAAAACAATTCGGTTTAGCGCTCAAAAACTGAAGTTTTTCGCTGTTTTCACTCTCTAAAAGTGAAAATTTTGGGCAAAAAACACGTCTCTTGCGTTTTTTCATGGTGCGAGTGCGGGTATAGATGCAGCTGGGGTATGGCTGTGGGTGTCGGTGGGCTGTGGCTGGGTGGGTGTGAATGTAGGGCTTCTACTCATCAACACTCTATCCATACCGACACCCACACCCACGCTGTACCCACACCCTTAGTGTCACGTATGCAGACAATATGGTAAAATAAAATTCGACATTTTTAAACAAACTTGTGCATTACTCTTTATCTAGATGCTTTGATGTATAGGCCGTATATTTTTATCAGTAGAGATCGGTAAGGTAGTGCACTGTATAATTCATTGCATAGCTTTTTAAAAACCATTAGTGGTAGGCAGATGTAAAAGATTTCGCATCTATAGATGTATCATTGAATATCACAGGCATTTCTTTTAAGATTAAGGATATTTTCTAATGGCGACTGGATCAAAAGCTGATACTAGATCTCAACCACGCCGTAAGTTGGCACTTGTAATTGGTATTGATAACTATGCAAGTGGTAAAATATTGAAGAATGCAAGAAATGACGCATGTGACATGTCGTCGAAGCTGGAAAGTATTGGATTTATTACCAATGGACCGAAATTAGATTTGACATATAAGCAAATGGAGCATACTCTGGTTGAATTTAAACATTCAATAGAAGAAGGAGATACTGTTTTGTTTTATTTTGCTGGACACGGAACACAATGGGAAGTATGTATCAACAGCTTTGAATGCTAAAAGAGGCGGAGACAGAATAGTGAAAAAACTGTTCATAAATCTAATTTTATTTTCAATGCAACTACCACCTTCTCTCCCTCTTCCCATCTCTTGATGGAAGACCTCCAGGAAAGTCATCTGTTTTACATAAGAGCACCATTTTTGAAATTTTTGGCGCTTTTGCGTGATACAAGAGGGGGTCTTCTATTACGGGAGGGGAGTTATATGAAAGAAAGACCAATCAGTCGCATTTCTAAATTTGACATGTCCACATCATTTGCTTTTCTTGCAAATTATGGTAAAAGGTACATCCAGAACACTACTGTTGACATGAACAGATGAAGGCTCATATGGCACTGTTATTTTCGTTGGCTCAGTCTCTCAATGATGAGTCGATCTTAAAAGTTATATAATCTATTATATCATTTACAGAACAAACTATCAATATTGATTAATTTAAAGTTTTTAGCTGAACTTTCATTAGAACATCATCGATCATCCTAAAAAACTGAAGCTTCCACTCCTTGTCTAAAACGAGCTGAAAGAGTTATTGAAGATAGTATGGTACTTGCATCCATATAAAGCTTTGATATAATATAATCATGAAACCAACAAAGTAAAGTCAAATACAAGTCATCGAATATGAAGTTATTAAATAGAATGTATCAAACGTATTTGAAAGATGCATAATTTCATATATCTATTAAACAGCAAGTCGAATTTTTCATGTTTTATCATCAGTGGCCAGCATCGAGATTTATTAGAAACCGCTATAGTCATTACATTTCTTCTTTTTATGCTTTCATTTCGAAACACTCACAACGGAATTAGATTTATATCTGAAGGATAAACTAAACAGCGTCCGAAAAGTTAAATTCCTGTCTTTTGTGCTGACACGACTAAACTTTATAGTCAGAGAACGTATTTAAAGGAAAAATACTCAGCAGATATTCTGATCCGACTTTTTTATATCATGTTAATACATCATTTGAATATGAAAAACATCTGTTTCAGTGTACTATTTGTGGAAAGCGAAGAGTAGAAAAAGCACCGAAATTTCAGTCTAAACAGTTAGCCTCTTGTCCAATTATTCGCACTACAAAATCGATAAAAGTTAAATGATAAAGTGTGAATGGTTTTTTCATATCTGCTAGTTACTACATTGCGAATGAAATGAATTTCGTCAGTCAGATTTTTTTAACTAAAAGCAGTGTGTATGCATATATTATTTTTGTCTCTAACTAATTTAAATGTATTCTGTAACACTGTGCTGTGTAAAGTACGATTATCTATTATTCATTTTAAATAAAAAGGCAGGTGAGCATTCTTCAAATAACTTTTGATAGAAACAAGATAGAGAGCTACGATTTTCAACGTTGGAAAGAGTAGATAAAGATGCATTGAATCCTATATTACAGTAGATATTTCTACGATGTTCTTTAAAGTTTTTTGAATAAATTTTCTAAAAGAAAAAGTGATTTTTTTCACAGAGATCGATAGAAAAATCGTTTAAGAATCTCGAGTAGAATGCCTATAATGCTTGAACGACTAAATTTAAAAGTTTGGACCTTGCGCAATTTTGTAGATCTTCAATTAGCGGTTCTAATGCACATCTGATTATTGAAAATTCACTTGGGTCACTTTACAAAGTACGTTGGTTTTCAAAAATGTCGATTTAAGTCCTTGAAAAAACTAAGTCAAATTACCGTATGATATACAATTTCATGCATCTATATCTTTCTTCCCAACGATAAAAATCTCAGCACTGTATCTCGTTTTTATCAAAATTTATTTGAAACATACGCACCGACCTTTTTTTGAAACAGGCAATGCTATCGGACAAACTGTGATATGGATCAGACTATTCCTTATACTTAATTATGAAGACAAGCCGCGAATTTTTCTGTAGACTTATACCGATCGCAGTTTAGAATGTCAAAAGACAAGTGCAGGAAATGTTTGCATCTCGATAACTAGCGTACTGTTTCGACCACGGATGATGTTACAGTTTGCAGTAGTCTAACTTCTATGAAATCTGTATTGCATGAAGGAGCGAGACAAACTAGAAGGCTGGTTATTTCTTCAAAAACGCCTTGTGAACCGCGATAATCATGCGAAAATACTTGTGCCAGACATACGAAAGTTTTCGAAACTTAGAGACTTATGAATGTATTCATGAGAAGCTTATTTAGAACAACATTTGTTCAAATAAAAATAGGTAAAAGTAAAGTCTAGCAGATAATAGTTTTTCGTATTAAAACTTCTGCTCCACATCATTTCTCTCTGAAATGTATATAGACTTCCATCAGTATTATTCTACTATGAAAAGTCTCATTATGTTCAAGTTACGCGATCATTTACAAGGAAAAATGCATTATTATTAAATGCAAAGACATAAGTTACAGCATAAGTTTTAGTTAAGTAGCACAAATGGATAATAATCATCTCATCCGTAAGTAATATTTGAATAATTATCTTCATCAACCAACTAGCTTTTCCAAAATGATTCCATTGTTACAGATAAAAATTATGAAAATATAGACTCAGATCGAATTTTCAAGCGCTCAAAGTTGAATAGAACATTTGATGTTGCAATCGAAAATGAATCCAGATTCTAATTTAGTAGATTTGAGATGATACTTATAATAGCTTACATCTTATCGATTGAGAAAAGATTACAACTTTCCATTAGTTTAAAATAAAGGTGTATGAGACAGAAAAATACTATATGGTATTATGTAGAGAATGTAATGGTTTGAACAATTTACAACTCTTTATAATTAAGTATAGAGATGAGTTTGATGAAAGCCTACATTATATGCATAGCAATGCATTGCTTAGCAATAGTCTTGAAACGAAGAACTACCTTATCACTTGGCGTTTACTTTTAACTATTTTTGTCTACGACAATATTTTTCGCAAAACCATATACTTGCTCAGAATACATTGACAAATAGGTGATCTTTTCGAAGTCCAGCATTTATGTTTAAAACAATGACGAGAATGTATTGTTGAACATCATTCAAAGGATCAGTATGAAGGATCAACACCGATGCTAACGCACTGATAAATCGGTTATTCGTGTATACAATCTGATAGGATGAAGTGAGTCATTGTTTTTAACATAGTAAACTAGTTGCGTGATAACTTGGTTATTCAGAAAGTCAACTACGGACGACATGATTTAGTGATGCGACAGAACAATCTTTCTCCACATGCATAAATCAAAAAAATGTAAAACTCAGTGTCGGACAAATGTACTTCAGTCAATGAATGATCGTTTTGAAAAAAAGTTTTCATCTTCTCAAGTAGAGTTGTATGTTTTATTGTTTTAGGATCAAAATTTTTTGATACCACGCGATGATGCTGACATTGCAGTTAAAGGTGTAAAAAATCGTGCAATTCTTGCACAAAAATTGTTGGATGAATTAACCGATCGAAATCCATTTGTAACCATATTTTTATTGGACTGTTGCCGACTGTATTACTTACGTGATCGTAATTTAGAACAGCTGCGTGCTCGTGGTGAAAATTTAGATACTCCAAAATCAAGTGGCTTAAAAGAAATGCACCTTAGTGCAGGCTCACTTATTGCTTTCGCATGTGCACCTGGAGCTATAGCTAATGATTGGGAAGGACAGCGAAATGGTTTATTTACCAAGTATCTTTTACAACATATTGGAACTGTCAATGAAGATGTTCGAATGATATTGGCGGATGTTACCCACGATGTAATTAAGGAATCTAGAAACAAACAAATTCCGTATTGCAGTAGTGTATTGACACACAGAAGGATATACCTGTATGATCAGAAGTCAGGTAATTATGTAGTAGAAACAAAATTCAAAATAGTAGGAGAATAGATTTTGTTTTTTTTAATGATAAATACTGTGCCGCAACTAACAATTCAATAGATCTCGTTCTCTTTAGCCTTCTAAAAAACAGCTTATGTAAACTGAATACTGAAAATTAGGGTGTGGAATATGAGTGTGGACGAGTGTGAGTGTCAAGAGAAGACTCAGGCTACACTCACACTAACATTTCACCCACATCCACACCCGAATTTTTTTCTATACGCACATAATTCAAACTGAATAAGTGTTGCATTATATATGATTCGTGTTATATACGGAAAAAAAAACAATTCATTCGATAGCTAAATTTAGTTTCTCACCTAAATTGGAAGTCACATTCTAGAGTTGGCTAAAATTTTAAAAAAAGGCCAGCTGTTTTTCTCTTGGTTGGTGTGCTAATAGATTGATCCCTTCAAGTTAATAATAATACGTAAAATTGAAAGATCAACTTCCGAATTATGAGTAAAAGATTTTTCGATTTCACCAGTTTCACCCTATTATATTTCATGGTTCTGGTTTCGGTTTTAACTCAGTTCTCGCTTTTTTTGTCTTGGAACCGTCCAACTCTGACGATCACTTGTACGTAATTATCGAATTTCTCAGCAAAACAACAAATCAATTTTTAACCGTCGTAAAAAATACAATATTGTGCAAAACATGCAACTAGGTTTTTTCCTTGATATGTGCTAGATTAGGCCAGTTTTTATTATCCACCTATTGAGCTCATTTATGTATTAGTTTTCTGAAAGTCTAAATTTTATTTTGATCTATATTGTTGCGTGATCACAGAAAATTTTCGAAGATGTTACAATTAAAAAAAGAACACAAGAAACTGTGTATGATCCATTTATATTAAAGTTTAAAATTGTTATTAGAAGAAAAAATAAATCTAACAGCGATAAGACATAAAATTCATTAAATTTTTTTCATTATCACAAAAATGGATAATCAGTGCTAATTGAATAGAATCGATTACTCTATGAAGGAGTTTATTTGCCTTGTCTGTTACTATTAAGATGCTTTCACATTTATCACAATGATGAATAAATCTTTGGATTTGTCTCTGCTTCTACTAATTTTGGTCAGAGATAGTTAAATAAATAGATTATACGTTAAAGTTGAATATAGTTCATTTCATTCATTCTTTCTGTTTTTTTTTCTATTGTGCAGTTAATTTAGTCTATTTTGCATGAGTGGATATTTTCAATAAATCAAGTGTCTTTGCTAATTTCGTTTTTGTATATATGAATTCGATCGTTTATTTACGGGTTGAAGTGTGAATTTTTTCATTTAAACTTTAGTTTTTTCATCTTTGCATTGTTTTCTGTTAAGTTTCTCGAATGTTTATATATTTTTCTTTTTCACTGACAGTAGGTACCCAGTCGAATGAATAATAGTAAGATGACCATTAAAATGGATGTCGATTCACTATTGAACCCTTTTATGGTTTCAGAGTTTCCAAAAACTATATGATTTTCTAGTCTCTGATTACATGCATTCATATTTTATTTTTCTGAATCGTACAATGTAACTTTATACACTATTAATAGATGTAATCATCAATCACTAAGACACGAGTTGACCCGACTCTTGAAACTCTTTTGGAGTGGAAGAGGACGGTGAAAATATGTTCTCTGTGGTACTCATGCAAGAAAATTCCTGGTTAAAATCAGATTAAAATGGATCAAAAACTGATTGAAAATCTATTATAATCATGGACTGTTAATTGATTTTCAATCAAAAATACCTCCCAAAAAAAATTTCATTGATTATTATGATTAATCTCGATTATAATCGATCAAGGCTTAATGAAACGCATCAATTTTAATTAATATTTCTACATGATACATAATAAATCCTCAGCTAATTTCATTGGTTTGCACAAGGTATAATCGATTTTGTTTTCATCAAGTTTCAATCGATTATAATCGAAATTAACTGTAATAATCAATGAAATTATGATTTTTCGGTGACTTTTGAGTAAATTCTATTGAAAACACATGATTATAGTCTATTTTTGATCCATTTTTAATAGGCTATAATCTTACCTTAATTCCAATTTTTTTACATGATCAGTGTCCATTTAAAATAGTGAAAAATTTCTAAGTGTTTTCTCTGGGTATAAAGAACAGTTCGATTATGATTAGCATAGGAACGATATACGAAAAGTGCTAAAAAGACGCACATTAAGATGTATGACAGAAGTCAATGAAGAGAAAAGGGACGCATAGGCAAGATGTGAGTTGATCAAATTTAAAAGAAATATTCAACTTTTTTTCGACTGATTTTGTTTTCGCTAACTGTCATTAAATACGAATTACTGAACTGCTTAAAAATATTTGCAACCGAAGACGATTCAATCATGACGACTGCCTGATAAACGAAGGCCTTCAGGTATAAAAGCTTCGTAGCATATCGTTCAAGCTAAAGATTCAGAGAATTCTCATATCAACTATCACTTTATACCAGAGATATCCACAGAAAAGGGCATTGTCTTTATAATCTGTGATACCCTGCAATCTAGAAAATCAGTTTCCGAGTGTTTATCCTGAAGAAGAGATTCTTTTCAGTCCTTAAGAGTCATAAATTAACCGTAGACTGTAGAGCGCGATACTAACTGATATTTAAAGTTTTCCTCTTGAGATCTACATCCGAATTAGTATTGCCTGTCAAGTGCGAGACTTAAAAATCCAGAATGCCAAATATCAGAATCCAAAAAGTGACAGAATTTGTTTTTGAAATCCAGAATAGGGTGTGGGTGTTTATTGGTAAGGAGTTTTATTTAATATACAATGATTTTATTGATCATTGTATAAATTTTTCAATAATCGAATGAAAGAAGATAGATAAAAAATCTATGCAAGAATAAAGAAAAAGTAATTTGTTGTCTGGACGGACTAAGAGAATGAGACCCTCAACTTCTTTCGAATCATAAAATATGGTTGAATATGTCAAAAAAAAACAAGTGAATACAAAAAGTACCTGAAATTCTGTATTTTTCTGGAAAATCCAGGAAGATCTAGCAGCAAGAAATCGAACGAACATGAATAGAATCCAAGAATATGCGTATAACTAAAATGACTCTCGAAAATTTATTTATATTTCCTTGTCTAGTAGTTTGTCGCACTATAGGAAAACAATAAGTTATGGTTTCTATATCATTTAATTCGGATGATGACAGTATTTGCCTAATATGTCTGCTTCTGATTTTAGTGCTATATCAAATACACGTCTTCTTCTTGTTTACAACTGTACTGAATAGAATACGTTTAAACGAAACAATATTTCTATAATACAATGGCGAAACAGTTTTTTCGATGCGACAGGTTGTGAAAAATCACCGTGTTAGACATCTTTAGTGTTCAACATAAATCTAAGTTCTTTTCCTTGATTATCATCATTATCATCATTTGTTATCGAGAAAAAAATGATTGTTGAAGAACCGAACTGAATCCAGAGGAAGTATTCGGAATTCATTATGAAAATAAGAACATATTTCAATGTAACATAACAGTCTTGTATCTAATGGCGTACCTAGGTGTAGAGTTGGGTCGTGCTGAATCCACCAACTATCAACCGTTGACGAAAATCATTTTATTTTTTTTGAAACGATAAAATCAACAAAACCCAAGGTACTCACACAATTTCTTCCTTCTTGCTTCCTGCTCAGTTAGTATTAAATTGATCACTGATCGCACCTGTAATAACTCTATGTAACTGATTTCTCTTAATACAGAGACATATTTTGTATGATGATAATAATGTTGGATGGATTGTCATGTCAACAAAAGATTTGTTTTTCCTATTAATTCTTCAGACGAGATACACGAATAATTTCTCAATGACAGGCGTAAATAAGATGAGACTAGTAGTTTGGGTAGCGTCCAACCACCATTCAACAATTTGTTCAAAAAGGACATGCACTTTGTTAATGATAAAGAAAGTGAAAGTAAAACGAGCGTAAATCACTCTCACTCCTATTTTGCTTCCTATTGTAGCTAGTCTCGTGTATAATTGATGAACCGACCGAAGAATATTCTATAGTTTACTTTTAGAAAAACAAATGAAAACTCTATTGTACTGATTCTAACTGATTGAAAGTCGTTTTATGTGTAAATTATTCCTTTTAGTCATGTTTTATTAAATTTAACATGCAGATAAACTTTTAGCTTGAAGCTCAACTGATACTTGCCATATGTGCATTATATTGTTTGTTGACGAGTAGTGAGTCTCTGTAATTGTCGTCATCATTATTATTGATGACAAAATAAATCTCGAAAGAAAAAAAACTGATATTATAATCTTATAGATATAAATCATTTGTTGCTTCACATATGAAGCGCTTCATCTCATCATCAGTCGAAATTATTGTTATTGTAATAATAAGTAAAATTTATTAGATCAAATAAAGTATACATATATTTTCTACATGATATAATCTATTTGTAGATTAAGCTCTTGTTCTCTAGAATTTCTTTTTGATATCAATAATTTGAACTTATCATATATTGTTTTTTATGATAATATGTACAATTTGTTTTTCAAAACTAAAGTGATATATTTATTACTCTCTGTCTCTCTGTCTATATAGTAATAAAACGAAGAAGAAACTTGTAGAAAGTGAAGAATTCTTATAAGTCATGTTTGAACTATCGTACAATAAAACCGAAAGTAAGAAAGACTCATACTGATTTATTTTCGAAGGTATACAAAATAAAACGACTTGAGTTATTTGTTTGTTAAACATACGTGAATTTTTGATACTTACTGTAGACGTAAAGATATTATGCGTGGTATAAATATGCATTTTGAAATAAGAGAATGTTTTTTTTGATTTGCAAATAGTTAAATCACCTAGTATGAACAATCTTGATAAATGAGGATTATCGATTTACAAATGATTCAAATTCAGATGGAAAGCACTTAACTCTTTTTAAATAGACATAATTCTTATTTTTTTTCAATACCTACAGCTTACGTCTACGTAGTTAAGATTCATTATAATCACGGTAGGTTTATTAAAAGAAATAGTTCTTTTAAGGTTGTTTTCATTTGTGAGATCAGTACGTTGTTCGGTGTAGTTATGATTCTATATGTAGATGTGTACAGATATATTGAAAAAATGAATGCAATATTAGTTTTACAAATTTTTTTTCTTAAGAAAAAAACTAATACTATCATGATTTTTGTTGATACAATATAGAAAGGGTCATAGATAAGCATTTGAAAAGTAGTAGAGCAGCGCCTAACCATCTGAAAATTTCGGGTTCCGCCAATAATTGTGTATCCTTACTTACTGTCTCTTTTGATTATAGTATTTAGTAGTAGTCAGTGTTTTATTTTGAAATAATGGTATAGTATTCAATCTTCTGTTGAGTTCGTTCATTGACATCGTTTAAGTTTTTTCATAGATGTTTTTTTCTTGACAATCAACAGTTTTATTACATATATAACGGAGAAATATTGTATTAGTCATCAAACACTAGAATTATATTAGAATTAGTATCTCAAATTTGAATCTTTTCATATTGTTACAAAGAAGTGAAACTATGTTGTGTCTTAACATATCTTAAATATATATTATTGAGTCAAGTAATAATACTATATATAGATATAAAAGAGATTTCATCATATGAGTTGTTCTCTCTATCGTATTAGCAAGGGAAAACGACGTATTCTGATACTTCTAGAGTACACGAAGTACAATTAAAATGTACCGATTGTTATTTGGAAAGTTTCTAATAATTATTAGATAACTCAAGTAAACTGCTAATTTTTCAGCCTTTATGGCTGATATGAATGGTTATGATGTTTGAGCCTGGACACTATCAGATATAAAATGACTTTGGACAAGTCATTAATGGATGTTGTCCAAGATCACCCATACGATAGCATACTGACTACGTGATTAACTTACATAAAAAGCTTTTGTGAGTAGTATGTGGTTAGTCAGTATACACCGCAAGTCTAACTGACTAAGTGAAAGAATTCTGAGATAGGCTGACCTTCCATCAAGAACTACAGCTAGTAATAGTTGTAGGAAAAATATCGAGCTAGCATCTTTGTCTTCGGACAGCAATTCGAGTAACTCTACACAAAAGATCTTTTTAAACAAGTGCTTTAACTTGCTTCGAAGATGTGAAGAAATAGAAAAATAACACAAATATCGTTATAAGATGAAGACTGAAACTACCCTATATTTGTGAGCAACATATATTTCAATGCAAATAATAGAAACGAAATGGAAAAATATTTATACCCAAATAAAAAAAAAATCAGACATAAAATTCTCGCAGATCAGTCGAAGTTTTCTGAAAAGAAGGCCGAACATCTTCATCTCTAAAGCGTTACATTAAATCTTACTATAAGAGTCTTGACAGATTTTATTCGCACATAAGATTTCGTATAGTTTTATAATTCTATCATATGGAACAATAAGATCTTAGAAAAGTGTAATATTAACGTTTTATGTAACACTTAAAAGACGAAGATTTTTTATAAGATTCCCGTCTGGTCTTAGACAATCATACAAGATCAAATACATAATCTTGTTTTATCTTAGCCTTTGATTGATGAATCGGAGTAAGTTTCGACTATTATCTTATTATTCGATTGCTTGAGACAAAGACAAGATGGTGAAATCCATATTTACTTATGCTGATTTTGTTCATGATATTCATTCTCTCGCTTCTATTGATGAGAAAAATGTTTCTACTCCTCCTTTCTTACGTATCTCTGCTATTAAAACTGCTTCATTATATACATCCAAACGATTACCAAGAATTTTACTAAAACTAAAATCAAACCTAAAACTAGCGAAAATGAACGGAACATTTTTCATAAGATTAATTGAGAAACAATAAAAACAAAAAATATACTTTTTCTTTACTCATTTTTTCTCTTATGACTTATTCTCATTTATTTTTGATGATCTGTATTTTTTCACTTAATTACTTTGACAAAAAAATATCAGCGCTTAAACTGGATGTGAGTATAAACAAGAGATACCTACAACAACACACTCACATCCTTTATTTAACTCTTGTTTTGAAA